TTTTTTTTTTTTTTAAATACAATGATTATCCTCCTGCTGGCTCGAAAACTCACACAAGGGGCTTATAGATATACAGTCAGTGATCTCCTAGTAAACCCTTGGGTCATGCATAATGACAGCTGTGTATGTGTGTGTTTAGAATAAGTGGTGGTTATGCTCCATTAAGCTATATGAGTTTACCCCACCACTCTGTGTTCTGGCATCCTTGATACAAAGTGACAGGAGTGATGCACATGCCATGGTTGATCTTGTTTATTTTGTAAATGGCATCATAATTTGTGAAAAGTACAAAAGTCTCACTTGGGTTGTCATCCATAGGGGCAAGCTGTGGGGACGGGAGACCCTCCTTTGGTGTTACCCTTGAAAAACCAGAGTCAGGTATCTATCTCATCCCATAGGAAACCTTGGAATCAGTTGTTTTTTTTTTTTCCCTGAACTAATATCCTTCGAGAAGCAGTCAAATAGAGACTTAGAAAGTAAAGCTTTCCAGGTAGCTGGGGCTATAGAAGGCTTCCAGGGGGAGGATCCTTTTTGAGGATGAATGATTTTCTGACTATAGATGGGGGCAATTCTCACCCATGGAACGGGATGGAATTCCAACTCCATGACAGGTTGGAAATATAAGTGCTCTAAGAAACAGGAGAATTAGCTGGCTTTCTAGTAAATTGATGAGTAATATTTAGCAGGGGTGTTTTGAGCATGACATAAGACAATGTATATGGAAGGCATCTAGCAATTTTTAAGACATTGGCATATTAATGTCTTAATGAGATTTATTTTTACAAAACTCATAGGGTAAATAATACATTTAAATTTAAGTCAATTTTGTTTTTTTTNTAGGAGCCTTCAAAGCTTTAACCCAAAGACATGATTAATGTGGGGATTTCAGTCATTGTGACAGGGCCCATGAACGAGTGCTTGAGAGGGCAAAAAGATTTTTTTTTTTTTTTTTTGTGCCATCATTTCAACCATATAGGAGGTGGTCTACTTCACACAAATACAGCTAGCTCTAGCTATGCACATCCATTAAATGATAGACTCGAAGTTCCTCGAGGTAGAAACTATGTCTTGTTCACTATTGTGCCCCTAGCACCTAATACAACGTCTCGCACATAGTTGGTGCTCATTAAATTTTGTTGAGTGAGTAAATAATAGAAATATTCTGATAGAAAAGCTTCTAAAAATCAATCCTGTTTCCTGGCACCACAGCTACCAAGACATCTCAATACAGTTACAGCATTCACAATCCTAACAGCATCATAGATTATTAGAATGACCATTAAAGTTTTGTTGTTTACCTTTATATCTGAGACTCATTATTTTGCAAAATTATTTTGCTATTTTCAATTTTATGCAATGGTGATGGCATAGTTCACTCAATTCCCATTCTAGAAATTTCAAAGTATCATGATATTCTATCATCGAACCTGGTAAAAGGGTTATACGTTTGCAATGGAGCCTGCAAATCAATGATATTCCTGTTTTTCCTTTCAGTTTTTCTGTTAAAGTTCTGTTATTCTAAAAGATATGAGTTATTTGAAGAAAAACAAAAAAGGCTTAGATAAATATCATGTATGAATTATGTGATTATAAGGTTTCTGGACATGTTTCTGAAGAACATAACCATAAATACAGGGTTTCAAAAACTAAATCAAGGACACTTATACTGGGTGTGGTGAAGCAAGGATTTCCAATCAAATTTCAGGCCTGGCCTTGCATTATACATGATAATGTGGTTTCTTGGCTGCTTAAAGGAGCTAACAAAGAAAACTCTCTTTCCTGTTCACTGACACCTAAAATTATTTTAAGACAAATCTGAGAGTAAATTGCAAATGACCTCAATTGTTTCTCTAGAAGCAGATTTTTGATAAAGATGCAGAAGAATTGCAGCGTCAAAGAGATCCTGAGGGCACTGGTCAAGGAGGGAAAGCAAAGCACTCAGAAAAGAGGACTGGGGAGATAAAAATAAGGAGGGCCAAGGAAGAACCCCTTTGTTACACCGCACTTTGGGGAAGCAAATGGTTATTTTCCAGTTTATATATCTTTTTGTTTGTATATCTAAATAATCGGAAAAAAAATACTACAAAGTTAAACATAATCTTGATCCATTAGATTGACAATCAGTCAGGAAGCTTGAGGCTTGGTAACCTGAGAGAGATTTAATAAGAATCAATTAAAACAGCTTGTTATTTAAAAAAAAAAAAGCATTTGGAAAATTTCCCCTTAAGCCAAAGAAATAGTAAACCTATATGGAGGTCAAGGAATGGAACTGCCTGGGTCCATTTGTATTGGAGAGGTTAATGAATGATTTTTCTCATTAGCAATGAAGACTAGCAATTAAGTGTTACATTTATGAGAGTTGGTTTTTTTTGTGTTTTTTTAAATTAAACTCGGGGCTATGATTAGGCACAGCTATAGTTACATGCAAATAAGTCCTAGAGTTGGTCAGTAGGAATAATACACAGAGGGTGCCAAAAAAATGTATACACATTTCAAGAAAGGAAAAAACTATTAAAATTGTAATACTATATACCGATAGCAAAAGATGAATACAAGTCATGTGTATACATTTTTTTGGCATCCCCGGTATTAAAGATACATCTTCAATTTTGAGACATGATGCACAAATCATGATACAAAATAAACATGATTTCTAAATAATGCCAAATAAATAAATTACCTTTGGGACAAAAATTGCTAAACAATATGAAATTCAGGTTTATTTGGGAACCCAGGAAGCCTGGAAAACTGGCATTCTGTTTAATAACAAGTGCTTACTGGTCTTTCATGCTGCAGAATCGATGATTTCCCAGGTTCATATTCAAAAATACTTCTGGGCTCAGAACGAAATTTTCTTGTGTCCACTTTTCGGTCTGGAGGATCCCAGTCATGCCTAGAAATAACCGACACATTACGCATGAAAAAACGCTCTACATCTAAAACAGGTGTAGATAACCACTCACTGCTTCTAAAGTTAATTTTAGTACAGATTT